ATTTTAAACTATTCATAGTCCCCTTGTTCTGTTCAAATCACTGCCTCTTGATCTAAATATAGATTCCTCCTGAGCACAATTAAATGTTCCAGAATACTCTGCAACGTTGTCATGATCCACACAGTTAAAAGCTTTTCTTGTCAGTATACTGTTGTTGGAGCTGTTTTTCACTTATCTTTAACAAAATTTTAACTGCACGTGATATTAATGTTTTCGGATGATTTCCGTTTCCATTGGGTCACTGACCCTTTCTTTGAAATGGGCACAAATATAGATCTCTTCCTATTAGCTGGCCAGGTAACTGTCTTCCAAATTTCTTGGTATAGGTGAATGATTGCCTCCAGTGTTGCATCAGCTTGTTGAAAGATTGCAATTTGTATTCCATGAATTCCTAGTTCCTTGTTCTTTGCCAGTGTTATCAATGCACCTTGGACTTCTTAATTCAGTACATTGGCTCTTGATCATATGGTACTTCCTGAAATGGACATCAGCCTTTTTTTTTTTTTTTTGGTACAGTAACTCTGTATTCCTTCTATCTTCTTTTGATAATTTCTGTATCATTCAATATTTTGTGAGTCAAGGTTTGAGGTATATTAAAGTTGGGTACAAATATGCCCATATACCATCTTTGGACATTTATGCTTGGTTTTTACTCACTGGCAGCAGTTGTCCTTTATGTAACTGGTACATTTCAGTGCCTGCTGTATGCTAAACAAGGTAATAGAGATATGAAGATAAATAATATGTAATGCCTGCCATCAAGATAGTTCACAACCTAAAATTAAATCTTAATTGTTGTTTCAGCTTTCCTGATTTGAATGGAATTATTGTTAGGTGACATCGAGTTGAGAAACGGGGAGGGAGTACAGGACTTTGAAACAGTTTTAATAGGGAGAAGTTTTAAATTCAGATTAAGAAGTGTGTGGGTATATTGTGCTGTTTCTGATTGGCTGTAGACTATATAACTTGGTACTAACTTTAAAATGATGAAATATACTTGAATCCATAAGTTAGTATGAAGAGCAAAAAAGTTGATGCAAGTAACTTATAAATGATTTTATTAGAAGGTAGTTAAGAAAATAACTGAATTTGTTCAAATAAATCTTTATTAGGCAATAAATTTGCCTTTTTTCACAAAAGAATGTTTCTTTACCTCTTGCCATGATAGTGTAAAATCAAAATGTTTTCTATTAATCATAATGTTGTCTTAAAATAATTCATTTTCAACAATATTTTTCCTCATGTAGCAGCTCCAGTGAAATGAATTAGCCCTATCTTTATTAACAAATCCGTTGTCTAATCTATTTGGTCTTGTTGATTCTGATTTTAGGCTTCTTATATTGGAACAACTTTTGGACAGTATAAAACGCACAAAAGGAGCTCATCAGCAAGTAGTTCAGTTACATGTTATTTCTTCATTTTCCAATTTTTTGAAGGTAATCTTATTTTTTAAAATATAAAGATGTTCACTTGATTGTGTGTGTGTGTGTGGCCAATTAAGGAGGTAGGAGAATGGACTTTTTAAAGGATTAGTGCTTTTTTCACTTTTTCTTCAAACCCCCATCCCCTATTTTTCCTAATTTCCTCATGCAAATGTCTCAGGACTTGGACTTCTCTTTTACTCTTACTCCTTGTAAAACTTGTTCATTAGTAAACAGACCTATATTCTTGGTTTAGTGCCATGCTTTAACCTATTGAACATAATATTTTAGACCAAGGATCGGCAAACTCTAGCAGGTGGAACAAATTTAGCTTGCCACCTATGTTTGTATAGTCTGTGCACTAAGAATGATTTTTACATTTTTTTAATAGTTAAAAAAATTCAGAGACGAATACTGTTTTGTGACATGAGAAATCTAAAACCATTGTTTATAAATATTGGAATACAGTAACATTCATTTACATATTATCTGTGATTGCTTTGGTAGTACAGCAGCAGAATTGAGTAGTTGTATTCGAGACCGTATGACCCACAAAGCCTAAAATATTTACTGTTTAACCCTTTAAAAAGTTTACTGAACCTTGATTGATAGTAGTGGTTCTCAGTCTGTGAAACCAGCAGTATAACCCTTACCTTGTAACAAAATATAAATGCAGATTCTTAGCCTTTACCATACTGCCTTAAGACTGCACCCAAAAAACAGAACTTTTCTGTTTGTAAATTTGTTAGATATAGTGTTGGGGGTGGACATAAATTTGGTCCATGTCATGGCTTAAATAGATGAATGTATCAGACTTACAGTTCTTCATTTCCTCAAATTCTTTTCTTGGTAGATACCCTTACCACCTACTCCATAGACACTGTGCTAGTGATTTATGTAAAATAAATGTTTCTAATACCTTACTGATATAACTAGTGTTAGCTATGTTATTGTTAAGTGCTGTCAAGTCGATTCCGACCCATAGCAACCCCATATGGGGATTCCAAGGAGCAGCTGGTGAGCTTGAACCACCAAACTACCAACCTTGCTGTTCAAAAGACTTTTGCAGTCTGACACATTAACCCACAGCGCTATACCACGATTCCAGTGTTAGCTATAATAGGGCAATGTCTCAGATTCCTAATGGCTTAAGAAAAAGACACCTTAAAGGAGTTAGAGTTAAATGGTTGCCATAAACCTTCTTCTCACTCAGTAATAGTAATAAGCCGAGTTGAGATTTATATCTATGTGAGGGAGACTTCAAAAAGTTCATGGTGTCACAATAAAAACTTGAAAAAAAAAGTTCATGGAAAAATTGAATTGAAAGATAGTGGAATTTTTCCATGAACTTTTGAGCCCCCTTGTATTTTAACATTATTTCACTTGATCCTAATAATACTGCCTTCAGAAAATTGGTGAGATTTCTTGTTCAGTAGCTTTGCTATCAGTAATTTGATATAAATAAAAGTTCATAATATCAAGCTTATTTTGTCAAGTTGCATTACTGTAAAATTTTTCTACTTAATTTTCTGTATTGTTTTTATTATTAATTTAATATATTCTTCATAAGAAGCTGTGATTTAATTTTATTACTTTATTAGTAGTAGTACTGTATTTAGAAAATTATTTAGTTCAAGTTTATTGTATCAGCAGTGTTTTTACTAGCTGTGATCATTTCACTATTTGGACCACTTGTCCGAAGTGCTGAAGAGTTACAGCAGGTGACAACTGGAGAATATAAGATTATTCCTTAATTATTTTTACCCCCAAAGATAATATTGCCTTCACTCCTTCTGTCTTTTCTATTTAACTATTCAAGCCTCTAACCAATAATCTATCCATATGCATATGGACAAAGACTGGTAATAAATCAGTAAAAAAGGACTTTAAACCTATGGGTTTGTCAGTGATTAACTTTTTTGTTGTTCTTCAAGCGTTTTTTTGGGAGAAAAATATAAAATCTAAAAGTAAGCATGTGACTTAGCGTGGATTTAAAAATGGAAAAATCTATAGAAAAGCAGGCAAAAACATTTTTTTTAAGACGAACACGAAGCTATTTGTCTTTGCAGATTTTTGTTGTTTATTTCCTCGAGAATTTTATTAAGTTTAGCATAAAAGGTTATAGCTAAAACTTACAGAGAAAAAGAAAAAAGTCAGTTGGCTCTTGTTGGATTTGATTTCTGTGTTTGTGTGTGTGTGTGTTGAAACAATTGTTTTGCATGTATCATTTATACAGAAAATTTTGCAAAATTCATTAAAGTATTTGCTTGTTGTGTTCCTCATTCTAATGTAATCTTTTTATTGATAAAATACATGTCATTAGAATAAACCCATTACATTTATGAGTTGTATTTTAATAAAGTATAAAAGGCTTTCTTGATTATTTTAATGTGGTTCTAATAATGTTTACATTACAGTGATATTGGTTGCCAAATTGTTTGTCTAGGAGTTTTAAATTATAAACTATTTTTTGAAAAGATAAAAATCAGACTATATGTGTATATTCAACATTTTTCTGATTTTTAAAAAGATATTAAGCAATATGAACAAAACTGGTTAATCAGAATATATATTCCAAAGTAGATAAAACCCACTGCCATCAGGTCAATTCTGACTCATTGCAGCCCTATATGGGGTTTCCTAGGCTATAAGTCTTTTTGGCAGCAGAAAACCTCATCTCTCACCCATGGAACCGCTTGTGAATTTGAACTGCTGACCTTGTGGTTAGCAGTCCAGTGCTTATCCTACAGAGCCACTTGGGCTCCTCCAAAGTAGATTCTGCTGCTGCTATGTGCTGTTGAGTCAGTTCTGATTCAGTGACCCTGTATAGGGTTTTTGAGACTTTAAATCTTTGTGGGAGCAAAAAGCCTCATCTTTTTCTCACAGAGCAACTAGTAAATTTAAACTGGTGACCTTGCAGCGCCTTGTTGTTGTTAGGTGCCATCAAGTTGGTTGTAGCTCCTTAGAGGAATTTATTTTGTCAATTTGGTTTCCTCTTCACATATTTCAGTACATGGCTAGCTCCAAAGGAAGTTTAGGTCCAGAAGAAATGAGAAGACCTGCCCTAACATTAGTGATGGGAGCCCTAGAAAGTCCCAACCCCCTATTGAGATGTGCTGCTGCAGAGGCATGGGCTAGATTAGCCCAGGTGGTCGATGATGGAGTTTTTACTGCTGGATTAGCTCAAATTAGCTTTGACAAGTAAGTGAATACCTTATTTCATATTCATGGCTATATGTCAAACCTGGGTATAGCTTTCAGGTGGGTTGAAACTAGTGAAGTCTTCATTCCAAGATTTAGGATAGAAAATAAAATTACACAAATGTACATGCTTTAAAATGAAGAGAAACCATTTGATCTGCTAGTCTTCAAACATAAAACTATTATTACTTCAGCATCAGTCTTTATATATTAAGAAAAAAATTACTGTCTATACAATTCATCATCAATAGAATGGTTTCTGATACAGTTAAGACTAAAGGAATTTTATCATGTAAAATTGTAGATTTTAATAAGAACAGTCTACCAGGAAAGGCAGAAGTTGTAGACTACAAATCTAGAAACATAAACTGTATTTCACTGATGCCACTAACTAGCACTGCAAACTTGGACAGTATTTTACTTCTTTCTCTCACCTGAAGTACAAATATAAACTCACAATAGCTATATTAGCAATGATGGTAGTAGTCTGAGGAATTTTGTAGTAACATCACTAAGTTGGTTCAAATCCCAACTCTGCTGTTTAGTAATAGTGAGAGTTACCTATTGTGTTGGTTTCCTCCTCTGAAAAAAGGTTCCGATAATAGTAAGAACCTTGGCGAGGTTGGGAGTAGTAAAGAAGTGCTACATGTAAAGCACTTGAATTAGTACATAAAGAATTTCTAACATTAACTTCTCTTATTATATTTAATTTTGAAATCAAACTTTTCGGTTAAAATTCTCTATGTAATTCAAGTATCTGAGTAACATGGTAATTTTAGAAATGTAACAATGATAAAGTAACAATATCTGCCTTATAAACATAGTTTTTACATGAATATCTGAAAGTTTTTATGTACATTGAAACTGTTCATTCTGAGATATTATTAATAATGTCATTGTCTCTTTATTAAAAATATTTTTCTTTTCAAAATATATTTCTGAATTTGGCAGCCAATAGAAAATATAATTCAGAATTTTGCAACTATTCATACAGAACGTTTGGCATAAGTAACAGTGTACCTGCATCGTTTTTATTTCAGAGATTTGTCATTTATTTTTATTTCCATAATTACAGATTGAAGTCTGCAAGAGACGTGGTTACGAGAACAGGGCATTCATTGGCTTTGGGATCCCTGTATAGGTACTTAGGAGGAATAAATTCTTCTCAACACTTGAATTCTTGTGTTGGAATACTTTATACTTTGTCTCAGGACAGTACTTCTCCTGATATGCAGGTAAGTACCTTATGTGATACCTTCCTTGAAAGTAATGACTTGTAGATGATGCAGATTATGGTTTTATTGACAGTTATTCATAAATAATGTTTTCCCTATGTAATAAGTCTCAAAGCCATTGTTAACCTCGGTGGATTATTTTTTTTTAACAATTTTATTTGTGTTATGAGACTATATATAGCAGAACATGCACCACTCAACAGTTTCTGTATGTACAATTCAGTGACAGTGATTGCATTATTTGGGTTATGCAACCATTCTCAGACCTTTTCTGAGCTATTCCTCCCACATTAGCATAAACCCACTGCCCTCTTAAGGTTCCTATGTAAGCTTTTGAGTTCTCAGTTTGATCCCATATAGAAAGATCTTAAAAGAACACAATGCTTAAGGTAGACATTTTTTATTAGTTAAACTAAGCTACTGTTCAGTTTTAAGAAGAATTCATGGAATGTTTTTGGTTTAAGGTGTCTAGATTATCTTAGGGTGGTGGTGGTTATGTGCCATGGAGTTGGTTCCGACTCACAGCGACCCTGTACAGGGTTTCCGAGGCTGTAAATCTTTATGGGAGCAGAAAGCCTCATCTTTCTCCCATGGAACCACTGGTAGTTTTGAACTGCTGACCTTAAGATTCACAGCCTGGTTCGTAACCACTACACTACCAGAGCTCCTTATCTTAGGGCAGTAGTTTCACTTTATGCAGCCACCCTGGTTCCAGAAATCTGGAGTCTCTGAGAATTTGAAATTCTTTACTGCAGTTTCCCCCTTTTGAACTGTATTTTTCTATAAAATCATTTGATCAAAATGTTCACTAATGGTCGCTAGGCACTATCCAGTTCTGGTCTCATGGCAAGGGAAATAGTTGTTCATGGAAGTAATTAGCCACACATTTAATATTCTCCTTCTCTTCTTGACTCACCTTCCTCTGCTGCTCCAGGCAAATAGAGACCAATTGTGCTTTGGATGCCTGCTTGCAAGCATCGCAGCCATTACTCATTAATGGTAGAGCAGAGAACTAAACATGTTATTAGGCCAGTTAACAGGGATGTCCTTTGAAACCAAAGCCCTAAATCCCCAAATCAAGGAAATCCCATGAGGGTGTTTGGTTATACATAAACGACCTTAGCAGCTACTCTTTTTTTTTTTTTTCTCTTTCTCTCAGTGTAAATATATTTTTTTACAGGTGTACAACTTGTTGTACAATAGTTACATTGGTCAGTTGTGCAACCCTACCTTTAATCAGTGAAATTGTTCCGTCACTGTAAATAGATTCGTAGTACTCCATAGCAATAACCCCTCTTAGCGCCCTCCTTGCTTCTGGTAACCTCTAATAAACTTTGGTCTCTATACATTTGCCTTTTTGTATAAGTGAAAGTCATACAATATATGTATTTTTGTGATGACTTCTTTAACTCTTTAATGTTAAAGAGATCTTGACTTTAATGTAATTCTTAAAACTCTATGTTGTTGCATGCACCAAGATTTTATTTCTCTTACTCGTTTAGTAGTATTCCATTGTATGTATGTATATTACATTTTGTTCATCCATTCATTTATTGATAAGTATAAAAGTTGTTTCCACCTTTTGACTACTATAAATAGTGCTGCAAGGAACGTTGATGTAGAATTCTGTTTGAGTCTTTGCTTTTAAGTCATTTGGGGATAAACCTAAGAATGGAATTGGAATTGCTGGATCATATAGTAGTTCTGGAGTCCTGGTATGGTGCTGTGGGTTAATTCACCAAACTGCAATGCCGTTTAAACTGCAAGGTCGGCGGTTGAAGCTCACCAGCTGCTCCTTGGAAACCCTATACAGGGTCGCTATGGATTGGAGTCGACTTTACAGCACTTATCAACAACAACAACAACATAGTAGTTCTATTTTTAGTTTTTTGTTTGTTTTTTTTAAGAACCAGCATACTGTTTACTATAACAACTGTACCATTTTGCAATCCCATCATTGCATAAGGCTTCCAATTTCCCCAAATCCTGTCCAAAATTGGTTCTTTTCTATTTTGTTTTTCTTTGAGGGATTTTTATTAATCTTAGCCATCTCTCAGATGACTAACGATGTTGAGCATCTTTTCATTTGTTTGGTGACTATTTGAATATCCTCTTTTGTGAAACTTTGCTGTATGTTTTAAATTAAATTCTATCTTACCCTCAAGCTGAGAGTTTCTAAAGCCAAGTTCAGTCTCTTTTTCTGGTAGTGGATCTTCCTTCCATCTTATTAACAGTTTTCACCATTTTAGAGAGCTTAATAGGTGCCAGGCATTGTACAGTAAATTCTTGGGTTACAAACAATCTACTTAATGGGCGATTCATACTTCTCCCTTTATGTTGACTTACTTTAAAGTGACTGAACTAATAACTCCTGTGTGCCGGCAAGTCGGTTCCAACTCATAATGACCCTGTATAAGGATTCTGAGGCTGTAAATCTTTGCAGGAACACAAAGAATCATTTTTCTCCCCAGGAGTGACTGGTGAATTCAAATTACCAACCTTGTGGATAGCAGCCCAATGCATAATAACCCACTACATTACCAGGGATCCTTGAACTAACTCCTCACAACAAATTTGTCATCCCGATCATCTTCACTTGCTGCATGTGCAGCTTTAAGTCATTTAAAAGGCTTCAGGCTATTGCTCTATGTAAAGTTAAGGCTAAATAAGAACAAAATGTGCCTGTTCTGACTTACCTACAGATTCAACTTAATGACACACTTAGGCGTGAGTGGGTCTCATTCGTAATCCAGGCACTGCCTGTATTACATTTTTTAAAATACACTTTTAATCCTCACAGTAACCCAAGGTATATATCTTTATTATACAGAAAAACAACTGAGTTGAAGAAATTAAATCCCTTGTTCACAGATGAAAACCTAATCTTAAAATCAGGTTAAGAAGAGTTATAGACTCTAAATCCTATCTTCTTAGCCACATATTTTACATGCATTTATGTCCAGGGAATCACCATTCTCCTGATACCTTAAGTCTGTTCTTCTTGTAAGTATGTCTGTCTATATTACATTACTCTCCTACAGGATACGTCATTTGTACATTCTTCTCTTTATGCCTCTCCTTCAATATGAGACCAAATTTGTTTTATTTGCCAGCTTCCTTACTGGAAAGATGGAAAAATCACCTTCTCATCAGCTGACTTCTCGAGTCTCATCAGCTGACCCTGGAACCTTCTCTGTTACTGACTTTTTCCAAAGTGGATTTACCTACTTTCCTCCCACACATGTCCTCATATCTGCATTCTGTATTTTTTCCGTTGCTATTCTTCCTTCCTATTTTTCTTTGACATTTGAACTTTTTTTATATACTAAGTTCCAATTTAACCATTTTCTTATCAAACTTCATTTCTAAGCCACAGTTAGCTTTCCTTTTCTGAATTGTGGTATTTATTGTTGAAAAGTGCCCTTGAATTGGTTCTGATTCTTTGTGACCTTGTATAGGGTTTCTGAGGAGCAGCTGGTGAGTTTGAACTACTGACCTTATCCTATAGCACGACACCAGGATTCTAAATTATCACAGCACCAATAGCCTCCTCCAAAAAGATAGAGCAATCTACTCCCATAAAGATTTACAGCCAGGAAACAGTAGGGGCAGTTCTGCTGTGTTTTATAGGGTCACTGTGTGTTCGAATCAACTTGATGGCAATGGCTTTGGTTAGATTTATGTAACTTAGCTACCACAAGTGAGATTAGACTAAATGGCGAATCTTGTTTTATCTAAATTAGGTAATAGCAAACTTATTAAGGACCAAATGGTAATTTTTCTTATAATAAAATATGTATATATATAACTAAAATAGTCACTTTAACCATTTTAGCTGCATAATTCATTGGCATTGTATAATTATATTTACAGTGTTCTGCAATCATCACCACTATCTATTTCAAAGACTTATCATCCCAAATAGAACCTCAGTAGTCATTGAACAAAAACTTCCAGATAGTAAATTAGTCAGACTTTGTGGGTCCTCCCATCTGTGCAGCAACTGTTTAGTTCTGTCAGCCATTGTTTCAGAAAAGCACCACAAGACAATATGTAAATGAATGAGCCTGTCTGTGTTTCACTAAAACTTTATATACAAAGTAACAATGGTGAGCTAAATTTGCCTCATTCGTATTAATTATATATACATAATGCAGAAACCTCAACAAGTTCATGGGCAAATGGAATAATTTTCCATGAACTTTTTGAAGCCCCCTCATGTATGTGTATGTTTATCACCTGTGTAATGTGCATCACTGCAAATTAGTTGTACAAACTGAGTACATCATATAACCAGCATCTAAATAAAAAAGTGGAACATTATCAGTAAGCCAAAAAGCCTTCCCATGCTCTCTTCTGGTTACTGCCTGACCCACTAATGGTAAACACTATCCTAATTTGCATTAAAAAAGTTTTGATGCTATTTATACTTTATAGGAATGGAATCTTACTCTTTCAAATCTAAGTTGAAGTTAGAATTTTTGTTCTTAACATAGATAAAGCAATAAACGTTTTTATCAAACTGGATTTATTTCAAAATGTTACCTAAGGTACTAAACATTATCTTGGAATCAATTCTTAGGGCTGTTATATGTTTAAATATTATTGTTAAGTGCCATTGACTGCGTTCCACCTCATAGTGACCCTGTCTAGGGTTTCCAAGGAGTGACTACTGAGTTTGACACCAACCTTGTGGTTCACCTCAACTTTGTGGTCCAGTACTTATCCTATAGTGCTTATCCAACAGGACTCCATATGTCTAAATTAGATGATTGTCTCTAAGTTGTTTTTTACTAAATATTAAAAGAAAAATTTCTTAAATCCTAAAGTTTTCATTTTCTCTTTACAAATTAGTAGTACCACATATATACTTTGCTGTTACTTTATGACTTGCTTCAACAAAAGGATAATTTAATATATTTTACATTTGTTAGTGCTGCTGTAACATTTTAAATTATTTTTTACTCTCTTCACAGACCTGGGCACTACACTCTCTGTCATTGATAATTGATTCTGCCGGCCCACTGTATTATGTGCATGTAGAACCTACCTTGTCTCTTATCATAATGTTGTTGTTAAATGTGCCTCCCACTCATGCTGAAGTTCACCAAAGTCTTGGTCGCTGTTTGAATGCCCTCATCACCACATTGGGTCCAGAGCTGCAAGGTACGCATAGCTGTTTTTTAGTGATTTATATTTTAAATATATACACAAAATTGAATTCAGTTCCTGTGACTGAACCCACATACTTTTTAATGAAGTGTTGTTTGACACAATGTTTTATTCAACTATATGGGCAGAACCTTGAGGGAAATGTTGGCCCTACATGATGTCAAAGAGGCCAAAAAAAACCCATAAAAACTGGGAAACCAAGTCTCAGATGCAGTAACTAATTGGGGAACTCTTTTTACATCTCTGGACTTCTGTTCTACCTCTATAAAATTTGGGACGATTTTAAAAGTTTCTGTGTTTGGCACATGGTAGTAAGTACTTAGTATGTTATGCTAAATCATTGTATAAATTGCAGGCAATCTATATTTCTCCTACATAGGAAAGACAAGACGCATCATTTTTAGAACGATTGCATACTCATACATCTTACAATTCCTTCGCTAAAGAATTAAAATGACAGACATTAGTGAAGCAGTTTAAAGAGTGCCACTCTCTTCTTACAAAATAAATCCAAACATGCAAATATTCTTAACTTTCAACTAATCTAAGCAGGACTAAATTTGGTATTAAGGACCAGCCAGTGTTTTATTTTTTATTTTCTATTGTACACAGTGTCACTGTAAGTCAGAACCAACTTGTTGACACCTAATAAACAAGTTTATTGCTGTTGTCGTTACACTTGAGTTGATTCCCACTCATACCAACTCTGTTTAGGATTTGCAGTGAGCAGCTAGTAAATTTGAACTGCTCACCTATTGGATCAAGCCTACCTTGCAGTCCATTGCTTATCCTACAGTGCCACACAAGTGCCACAGTTCCATTTTTTATGAAAACAATATAACATTCAAATATGTTAGGGTTTTCTTTGTCTAGTGACTTGCGGTGAAATAAAAATAAGATTAAGAATAACTTCATGTAATGTGATAATGTTACTAAGCTAAGAAGTTTTACTTCAGAGCGTAAGTGTAAAGTTGGAAAGTAAATTTTCAAAACTAGTTATATAGAGTGCTAATATTATAGGTAACTTACTAAAAGCTTTCTGCTTTTATTTTAGGCAACAGTACTTCAGTTTCTACCCTAAGGACTTCTTGCCTCTTGGGTTGTGCAGTAATGCAGGATAACCCAGACTGCCTTGTTCAAGCTCAAGCCATCTCTTGCCTTCAGCAGCTTCATATGTTTGCTCCACGACATGTCAACTTGTCTAGCCTTGTCAGCTGCCTTTGTGTGAGTGTAAAATTATAAATTATGGCTTTTATTTGAATTTCAAACTTATTGTAATGTACATTTTAGCTAGCCCATAGACTAGGTACAATTATGTGTTCTATTTATATATATATATATATGTAAACCCATATTTTTTTTTCAGGTCTAGTCTTTTTGGGGGCCTATTGATGAGTAAGTACATATTGTACTTACTACATAAATGCTACAAACATGCAAATGTTTATAAGACATGGTCATTGTAATTTTTTTTTTCTTCCTCTGTTCCAAAGTATTACATGTAACCTTTGTATCCCAGTTAAAGAAATAACACTTTTATATTCTAGCAGCATATGTATCAGAAAATGAATTTTAAAAATAAACAACCAACAAAAAAAATTTATAATCAGAATTGGTTTTAAGATTTAGCTTGAATATCACAAATTTCTATCTGGACTTGCCTCAAAATTTTATTGCATTTGGAACCATCACTTTATGCCACTTCTTTTCACCTTTTGCTGAGTCTCTAATGTTCATTACACGCTGTCACTAGCAACATGACTGTTGAGAATCATTACTTTAGACTGAGCTTGAAAGAACTCACTTGTCATAAGAATCAGTCTTCTCACTAAATAAAGCTTATTGAGAAATGAAGATCAAGGCTAGTAACAAACTTGTGATGAATAATAGCTGATCAAACTCACTTTTTTCCCTTTCCTTTAAATATAAAGAATAAAAACTATTAGATATTTATTCTGAGTACAGTCAGACACAATCTGAAATAACAATTGCAGGTATTATTCATATTACTCATAATATTTAAGGTCTAAGATAGATCTTCATTCAGAAGTCATATATTCTAATTCTATATTCCCCCTCACTATAGTCTTAATATTTTGGTCAACAAGTCTTTTATTCTGAACTTACTAGATTGGATTTATTCTACTTTAGCAGTTCTACTTATAGTAAACAAATTCCTTTTGCTTTCCTGTTTAACAGCTTTATGAACAGGTTTGTTTTCTATGGAGAATTCAATTATTAAGCATAATGTGTTTTCATATTATTTAAAACTCTCCAAAAATTCAGAATACATTTCATCATTAGGAAGAAATCATAGATGCAAAGAGTTTTCTTCTAACTGCATGCTATTTAACTTCCACTCTGAACTTGGCCTTAACTACTAAAATTTCTGAGTAGTCTATTGTAAAACTTGGCCTCCCAGAGTTACAAAATCTGTAATTAACTTTTGACGAAGTAAGCCAATAACTTTGTCCCTTGCTGGATGCTTGTTCATATGAATGCAACTCAAAACACTTTGCCCACATTTGTGTTTACTTTTGATTATGAGCCTAAATCAGAGATTCCATGGAAAATCTAACTACACAAATGTACATATTTTATTATTGTGTGTTGTATATTTTACATCTTGGAATTCTTGAGTTGAGTATTTTCAGGATCTTTAAGTTGGAAAATAAAGTATTTATGGCATATTCCTAGCTAAAGCTAAGCCAGTTTGAATAATAGCTCTTATCAATATATTTATACTTGAATGCTTAGCTGACTCTGTCAAAGTCATCCTAGTATTTATCTTTTGGTTTTGTCATGACTGGTCTGTCATTTGTTTTTGTGCAGGAAATCTTGTTGGATAATTCTGTGTTGGTAGGTCCCTGACCCTCAATTCCTAACTTTTTTTTTTTTGCTTTTGAGGTTTGCAGTGCTGTTTCTTTGTGTTGTTTTCTCTTTTGGTTGTAAATGTTCTTGTTTTCCTCTGCATCATTTTTGTTATGCTAGCTAACCATTAATGCCAAGTCCAGTATGTGTAGCATGTTACCTAGTGTTTATTTAGTAACAATAAAGAAATCCTTCTTAACCCTCTCCAAATGGTACACTCACTCCTTGCACTTAATCTTGCATTAGTTTGATGTAATATATTCAATTTATTCAAATCATAAAGGAATTGAAGTTTCAGTTGGTTTATGTGCCTGCTTTTTTTTTTTTGCCTTAATTTCTATTCCCTTTTTCCCCAATATAAATGCTGGAGAATGACATGGCGATAGGAAGCTTCCCATTTTGCTTTATGTGACCGCCTTCCATCCATTTTATACCAAACTAAAGAATAATTTTAAGCATGCTGCTTTCGGAAGATTGCTTGACCAGCCTGAATAAATTAGTATATGCCTTGCTTGCAAATCTCCAGTTAAAGTAGCTGTTAGATTCCTTGACTTTTCTTTGAAATTGTCTTCTACTGTACTTTTTTTTTGGTTAAATTAGTAATCTTAAACATAAATAAAAACAATCTTCATATTTTAACTTTTCGTTTATCCTGTGTACTAATTTCTAACAGCAGAGTTCTGAAACATGGCTGAAATGAAATTACCTTGTGACTTTTCTGTGAATTGCATTCCTCTCTTTTTATACAACTTAAGAGTGTAATAGAACATATTTATAAAGCAATTCGCATATATTTCACTGATAAAATATTCACAAACTTGTTATGTTTTTCGGCTTATAGTAAATTCAGAATTTAGTTGTCTTTGCACATATTTATTCTTCTGTATCTAAAACTATCTGCTACCACACCACTTTTTTATTTCTCTCATAATTTAAGAAATTGTACTCTTTACAACAAATTAACCCATTTCAGTCCTGTTTTGCCCATATGCATCAGAGGTTACTGTAAGAATCATGACATTAGTTCTTGAACTTTTCTTTAAAAAATCAGTCTCAGGACACATATTGATTGTCATAGACCACACCAAACTGATATATAGATAGAATATAAATATCAGAAACTCCAGACTGTATTCTATTTATGAAGTCACTGTAGGAGAAAGATTAGGGTTTCTACTCCTGCAGATTTACAGCCTCAGAAACCCTATACAGGTTCTCTAGAAGTTGGAACCGACTCAACGACGCTTAACAACAGTGAAGTCACTGAGTAAGAATTTGTATCCAAAACCTTTTGAATCATATTATCTGTCTTATCATTTGTATTAAATGGGCACACCTATTGAGGTTAATATACTTTAAATACTTCTATGTGAAAATATGTATTGAGCCCATCATTTTATGCAAAAATATTCCATATCTACAATAAGTACATATTTCTATGTGTGTATATGAGTGGCACTGTGGGTTAATGTGCCAGACTGCAAAGCCTTTTGAACTGCAAAGTCAGCACTTCAGGTTCACCAGCTGCTCCTTAGAAAACCTATACTGGGTTGCTGTGGGTCAGAACCGACTCAATGGCACCTAACAACAACAAATATATATGTATATGTGTGTACTATATATGTGGAGTACTGCTGTGGCACTGTAGGGTCAGCACTGGACTGCTAACCACAAGGTTGGCAGTTCAGACCTATCAGCTGCTCCTTGGAAATCCTATTCAGAGTCACTATGAGTTAGAACCAACTCCATAGCACTTAACAATAATAACACTATATATATATAATTTGCTACTTTCTGATGCTTGTTTCCTGAGAATATATTTTGGTAAATATGTTTTCTGATCAAAATACTTTCTGTCTTTCTTTGAAAATGCACTTAATTATTTTACATGTTAACTGAATAAAATCATTTTGATAGAGATTCCACTAATAATAACTAACATTTAGTGTTTACCAATAACTATACTAAACACTTTGCATATCAACTTTTGTTATCTTCACAACAGCCCTGAAAAATAAGGGTAGTGTTATCCCCATTTTACAGATAAAGAAACTAAGGCACAGAGCGGTTAAATAACTTGCCCAGCGTCACACAGCTAGTAAGTGGTGAATCTAGGACACAAACTGAGAGAGCCTCCCTCTTAACCAATATGGTATATGCCTATATGGTTTTGTTTAAATTTCTACTTAGAGAATAAAAAAAAAAAAAACATTACAATAGTTGCATAAGCACAGATATAAGCTGCAAATAAATTCTTTCATTTTTAAAAAACTCTCATATAAATTCTGTGCTTCTTAACACTGTGAAGAGGCTTTTTGCTTGGATTTGTTTATAAATATTACATAATCTAATACATATACTAGGAGTTTGGTGGCTCTGTAGGTTAAACACTGGACTGTGAACCACAAGGTTGGCAGTTTGAGTCTACCAGCCACTCCATGGGAAAAAGATGAGGCTTACCCTTCCCACAAAGATTTACGACCTCAGAAGTTTACAGGGTAACTATGAGTTGGAACTGACTCAACAGAACTTAACAGCAACAGCAATGATATATATATTACTCCTTAAGCTATTTCTAAGTTATAGAATATATACTAGAATAGTGTGAAGAAGTTTCTGTGTGTTTAACATACTGCTTTCTGCCCAGTGATGCGCTGGACAGGATAAGGAAGTAGGGACGGTGAATATATTTTAGTGTAAGTGAGCATTACAAGAATTTTTGCTTTTTCATTGCCCAAATGGTATTTTTCAGGTTAATCTCTGTAGTCCCTATTTGTTACTGAGAAGAGCAGTACTGGCTTGTTTACGTCAGCTTGTACAGAGAGAAGCAACTGAAGTTTCAGAACATGCTGTTTTGCTTGCTAAGGATAACAGAGAGGAGTTGAATCCAGGTAATTCTTTTTACCAAGATTATGTCCAGTTCAGATCATTGTATTCTGAAATTTTCCATATATATTTATATGAAATTTTAAAATAAAAATTCAAAGTGAATATTTAAATGTCTTAAATGTACTACAGTTATCATTCCTACCAGTGGTGTTACTTGTTTAGAGCAGTGGTTTTCAAACTGAGGTCCTGGAACCAGCAACATCTGCATCATCAGGGAACTAGTTAGAAATGCATACTATCTAACTTCATCCCAGACTGACCTCTGAATCAGAAATCAAATTGGTTCTGACTCATAGTGACCCTGGATAGGGTTTCTGAGGAATGGCTGGTGGATTTGAAACACCAACCTTGCAGTTCAAACTGACATTCGAGTGAGTGCTTATCCTACAGCAGCACACCAGGACTCCTTAGAGAAACTACTAGGAGACAAGTAGCATTGTTAATATCCTACACTTATAAGTTTATGGACTCTTGGTGTAGCGCTGTAGGATCAGCACTGGACTGGGAACCCAAAGGTCAGCAGTTCAAACTCACCAGCTGCTCTTTGAAAACTCTATACAGGGTCACTATGAGTTGGAACCAATTCAGTGGCACTTAACAACAGCATATATGCATAGTTCCTAAAGTTCTGGCACACTTTTGGAAGATTACAGACTTGACAAAGCTTTTCAGACTCATAATGCTTTCAGATTCATAATGTATTTTATTATTAACTCTCAAACAGATTGCAGAAGTCATTTGAAAACTATTCTGTGATTACTAATTCAATGACTTACTTTCCAAACCCTTTGCTGTCACGTCAGTAACTCTCATAGTGACCCTCTATGACAGAGACCTACACCAACAGGTTTTCAAAACTAAATCTTTATTGATTTAGAAAGCAGACTGCCACAGCTTTCTCCTGTGGAGTGGCTGGTAGGTTCAAACTGCTCACCTTTCGGTTAGCATCTGAGTACTTTGACTACCGATTTCCTTTGACTTACACTGTTGTTAAGGAACACTGATAGCGTAGTGGTTACAAGTCGGGCTGCTAACTTCAAGGTAACCAGCAGTTCCACAGGAGAAACATCAGGCATTCTGCTCCCATAAAGATTTACACCCTCAGAAACCCTGTACATAGGGTCACTGAGTCAGAACCAACTCCACAGCACATAATCACCACACCACAACCTTGTTGTGTGCCTCAGCCAGAGAAATTTTAACATTCCAGTAGTGTGAGATATTTTTCCCAAAGTGATCATCAGTTTATATTCACTATTTAAATTATCTAAATCTGTTGTTTTATACCTTGATTATATGACATACTGGTACATGGTCTTAGCACTGTAAGTAAAATAATAGTTCAGTGACATTTTTTTCTATCCGTCTGTTTTGGTTATCTAGTGCTGCTGTAACAGAAATATCAAAAGTGAATGGCTTTAACAAACAGAAATGTATTATCTCACAGTTTAGGATACTAGAAACCCTATCCAGGGTCACTATGAGTCAGAACCTACTCAACAGCATTTAACAACAATAATTGGAGTCCTGAGTGACGCTGTAGGATAAACAGTGGGCCGTGTGTCGTCAGTTTGAACCATAGGTCAGCAGTTCAAATTCACCAACTGCTCCTTGGAAACCCTATACAGGGTCGCTATGACTCAGAACTAACTGAATAAATGGGACTCAATAAATCGGATTCCAAGTGTGGCACTGTAGGATAAGCACTAAACAGTCAGCCATACTTGATAGCATTTAACAGTCTGGAATAATGAGCTCTGGTGGCAGAGTGAGTTATGCTTTGGGCTGCTAACCTCAAAGTCAGCAGTTCAAATGCACCAGCCACTCCACAGGAGAAAGATAAGACTTTCTGCAGTTTTTAGTTGTCTTAACCACAGTTCTCCATCTAATAATTTGTTGTATATTTGGATTTTCCTCTCATGCCAACAGATTTTATAACCTTTATTCCTGAGTTGTTGTTGCTAAGTGCTCTTGAGTCAGTTCTGATTCATAGTGACCATATATAGGGTTTCCGCAGAGCACTTGGTGAGTTTGAACTAAAAACCTTGTAGTTCAAACTGACCTTGTGATCTAGTGCTTTATCCTGCAGTACCACAAAGATTATGCTTTTTAAAAAGACATTAGTTTTAGAAGAAAATGAAATAACCATACCAAAAAATATTGAATGTATACTGGATAAATATTGAGCATTAATTAGATTAAAATGTTCACTTAATTTAAGAAAACATTAATAACTCTTAACAAAGTCTAATTAGCTTTTGGTGACATTCCATTAAAATGGCTGTATTATGAAATAATCCCTTACTTTATTTATTATGAATAATCCCTTACTTTAACCATGAGCTAAAGTACTGTTAAGTACTGTTGTTAAGTACTGTTGAGTCAGTTCAGACTCATAGCAACACTGTATAAGGTTTCCAAGGAGAGGCTGGTGAGCTTGAACCACCAACCTTGCAGTTCACCTCAGCCTTGGCATCCCGTACATTATTCTGCAGTGCCACACCATGACTCCATGACCTACACCTCAATGAAGTAAAGGCACAGCATTTGAACTAGTTTTTTAACGTGTATTTGTTTCATTGCATCTTACTAACTGCTGAATGCATGTGCTTCTCATATGAAAATTTCGTTTTAAATATTACTTTGAATATAGATTTTCTTCTTGTCAGATACTAACATCAGAGAAGTTGGTCTTGAAGGAGCACTGTTGACCTTACTAGACAAAGAAACAGATCAAAGGCTATGCCATGATATCAAAGAGACTTTGAATCATATGCTAACGTCTATGGCAGTGGAAAAACTCTCCTTTTGGTTAAAGCTTTGTAAAGATATACTTGCTGCATCAGCTGGTAAGTAATGGTAATAATAATCATAAAGTGAAAAGAAAAAACTTTATATAAAATTGTTTACCACTAAGAATTCATCAATCTTGTCTGAATATTTGGATTGTAATTGTCTGGTTGCTTTCTTGAAATGGAGATTCTATAAATATAATACTTGAACCTTGTTTTGTTTTGTTTTTTTTAATCTCTTCTGTTAATCTTAGTTTTCCTGTATAAACAACCAAAGAAGTTGTTATTTAAGCTCCAAAAGGAGTGACCTAATTTGTAGCATTCCCCCTATTTGTTTTCAGATTTACTATAAGAATTTGATGAATTATTTTAATAATTACCAAAATAGAAAATTCAACAAAGTTATTATGTTTTAAACAGGTCAGTTTTTAACATTTTAAACTCTGTATAGAGTTTCTAACTTGTCTTAGCAAAGACTAGAGTATTGAGACTATTTTGTGATACTACTTAAAATTGGAGCCCTGGTTGGCGCTGGTGGGTTAATACACTGGATTGTAAAGTCCTTTTGAACCACAAGGTCAGCAATTCTAATTCCCCAGCTGCTCCTCAGAAACCCTATACAGGGTAGGGTCACTGTAACTCAGAACCAACTTGAAGGCACTTAACAACAATATCAACAGCAACATAGTGTCCGGGAGCAGCTAGTTTAAACCACCAACATTTCTGTTCAAACCAGTCTTGTGGTCGAGTACTTGTCCTGCAGTACCACACCAGGACTTCAGTTTTAAATAGTGTCACAAAATAATCTCATTTCTGTAATCTATACTAATACAAGATAGTTGTTAGTGAGAAAGTATAGGTTTCTCCCACTACGTAAAAGTAGAGTTATCTTATGTAAACTTTTGTAAGCTGAAGTGGTATATAGCCAAAAGCCAGTTAACTTTCATTTATATGGAAAAAATTTTTGAGCATTCTCAAACCCAAAAAGTAACTTACTAAATCATTCTAAATAACACATAAAACCTAAAATAGTAGTAGCATACAGTGTTCACAGACAGTTCAAATCTGTGGCATCTTGATGTCATTCCCAGGGAAGAAGCTTGATGTGCACTGCTTCTTAATTGCTTGCTGCAAGACACATACAGAAGCCAGTTTCACCTTTCACCTTTTTACATAAGTGTGAAGATTGTCTTTGAATTTTTTTGTTAATGGAAACATACTAATACAGATCTTTTCTAAAAGTCGTGTAAAGCAAAGTTTCAAAAATTAAAAAATACTTGTATATTTAGGTTTTAAATTTTTATTTCTTGGGGTAAGAGAAAAAAATTAATGAAAGGAAGAAAGAAAATAGAAACCTATTTTATACTAGGACATATTTTATCTCATTTAATCCTTTAAGCCATTCCAGGAGTAGTGGTTGTTAAGTGCCATTTAGTCAGTTCTGACCCTGTATGTGGTGTCCAAGGAGTGGCTGGTGCCAACCTTGTGCTGATCCTAGTGCACCACACCGGGACTCCATTCCAAGAGTAAGCAATATTATTGCAATTGCACTGAAGAGAAAATAGACTTGAAGAACTTGGAAAGTATAACTTGCCTACAGACATACAATTGTTAGTGTAAAATAGATTCAAGCCTAATTCTGTATTACTTCAAATTCATTGAACTTCATATATTTCAGTATTTCAACTCATTTACTCCAGCCATAAGGCTTAATGGAGCTCTGATCTCTGATGACAAAAGATACCATTAAATTTTTTATCTTAAATTCTTTACTGTCTACCTACCTTGGTTAGGGACTCTGCCAATCATTTAGAGATTCTAGTAGTGTAGTGATTAAGCACTACGTTCTCAGTTCAAATCACCGGTCACTCCTAAGGAGAAAGATGTGGCAGTCTGCTATGTAAACATTCACAACCTTGAAAGCCCCTTGGCAGCTCTTGGTTGCTGTGATTCAGAATTGATGATCTGAAAACAGGCTTAGCTTTTTGCTTTTATTTTTCAATCATTTGTATGTGCCCCTTCAACCATTATGTTGTATGTTTTCCTTTTTAAATTCTTGTATCCCTGTTATTTGAGAACTTAGAAGGAATTCTCCTTTAAAAGAAAATTTATAAGTTAATAGATAGATAGGCAAATTAATTTTGCTTTTCTAGAATTTCATCTAGGTTTTTAAATGTTTACATTCATACTCCCCGAGCTAACTAGCTCAGTTTTATTCACCATTGATTCTTTATTTTCTGTAGTTTTACTCTATTCCGTCTTATTGGGAAACACCTTTCCAATACTGTTTACTTCTCAGTCAAAAACAGCATTTCATCATCACTTGATTATGTATTGTCTTTAGTATCATAACAGCACAAAAATGCTTACATATTAAATAGTTTTAAAAGCAAGTTGGTTGGTTTATGGTGTATCGCTGTAGGATAAGCACTGGACTGCTAACCACAAGACCAGTGGTTCAAACCCGCCACCTGCTCCTCAAAAACCTTATATAGGGTCACTATGAGTCAGGACCAACTTGTTGGCAATTAGCAACACAACAATAAATAAAGAAGAGAAAGTAATTTGGTCATCAATAACTTCTGTCATCACAATGACTTTGAAACTATAATAACAATAATGAGTCCATCCTAAGAAAACTATTTTCAAACAGATTCAGTGGGTTCAGGAATCTCCTTAAACCCGGTGTTAAAACAACATCCAAAACACACCCCACCCCATGCACACTCCTTCATAGGAACTTCTTTAGGTATGTCCATCTACATTCTGTGACTTGATCATTATCCAGTACCTAGTATCATTTTTAGGAGTTGTGGTAGCATAGTGGGTTACAAGTTGGACTGCTAACCACAAGGTCAGCAGTTCAAATCTCACAGATGCTCCTCCAGAGAGATATAAGGCATTCTGCTCCCATAAATGTTTATATCCTTGGAAACTCTATACAGGGTTGCTATGAGTGAGAACTGACTCCATGACACATAATTACCACCAGTATCATATTTGAAATATTGGTGTGGCACTGTATGATAAGCACTGGACTACTAACTACAAGGTCAACTGTTCAAACCCACCATTCATTCCTTGGAAATCCTATACAGGATCACGGAGTCATAACCAACTTGATGACACTTTATAACAATAACAACAGTATTGTGTTTAGTTTGTCACTTTGAATATAGTTTAACAACTTTGTCATTTAGACCTGGAATAGCTCTTCTAATCTTTCCTTTAAAGGATGCTGTTTATTTTTATATTTATTAGATAAAACTGTTGGATGTTATTAAAAGATATTTGATTGACCCAGTAATTGTAGTCTGAATTTGAAATTATTTGGGTGTTTGTTCCATTATAAATATATGTTCCAATTGATAATAATTACATGTATTCTTCCTTGATAAAAGATTTTACAAGTATAACTTGTGTGGATACAATGCAAGAAGAAGAGGAAGATAAAGGGGATGATTCTTCAGTGTTGACCACCAGAAATAATGAAAAATCCCATCCTTTTACCAATCCCCGATGGGCTACCAGAGTCTTTGCTACTGAATGTGTCTGTAGGATAATTAACCAATGTGAGAATGCAGACAGCGCACATTTTGACATTGCTCTAGCACAAGAAATTAAAAAAAGGGATTCCAGAAGTAAGTGGCTTAATAATGAAAAGATTGTATGAAATATGTAGAAATGCTCGTGGTTTATTGTTTTAATATTATTTAAAATAGTAAATCTTGAAGGTTGTTTTAACTTTATCAGATCAGTTACAAAGCTTGATTCACATATGTAGATAAACTACAGGATACTAAAAAGCCCTGGTGGTGCTATAGAATAAGGTACTAACCTCAAGGTCAGCAGTTCAAACCCACTAGCTACTTTGCAGGCGAAAATGAAGCTGTCTGCTCCTGTAAAGATTTACAACATTGGAAACCCTAGGGTGTGGATGCTAGATCAATGGAAACAAACAGAATGGAAATAAAAAGAATACTAACACATTGTAAAAATTGTAACCAATGGCACAGAACAATTTATATAAAAATTGTTAAAGGGAAACCTAGTTTGCTGTATAAACTTTTACCTAAATCACAATAAAATATTTATTCAAAAAGAAGAAAATAAGATTTCTGGAATGAAAGGAAACATTCTACTTTGTGGAAATATAGTTTATATGGAAAAATGAGAAGAAAAAAAATGGCTGCTCGAGGTCTCTGTCGAAAGTATTACAATAATAAAAAAAGACTTCTCATTTATTATTTCTAAAACTAGAAATGCTTTTTAGATCCCCATCATTTATATATGTAGTAACACATTCAAAATATATGACAGCCTAGTAATAGTGTTAATGGAGTAAGCACTGGATTGCTATCTTCAGCATAAGATAAACAGAATAATTTATTACTGTCTAACTCATCAAAGCTCAAAGTCTCCTAAGCAGGGCTTCAAACTGGTTCATTGCACTTCTATGCTATGTATTCTGATGCAGTGTATCAGGTGGAAAGTCAAATTCTCAGAAAGTCCTGTTCCTAAGTACCTTCTAGTATTCTGTTATCAAAGTAGGAACAAATTTCTATTAAAAGTACTATTAGTACTCTCAAAGGATGATAATTTTGCCTTTGATTTTTAGTAACTGTAAATAATTGGGTGTGGGTTGGTGTAGTGTATTTGCAGCAATACATTATGGGAATAGTGTTCATCAAATTAATCCATAAAGCCTGTATTTAACAAACAGTGAATCAAATCAGAGGTACTAAAAGTCTATGTTATTAAGTTAAAAGAAGGATAAATTGTCATATGAATCTTAGTTCCACCATATTCTTTTCCTTGATAAGGTGTTTTTAATCTTATAGATGACTTTTTGGTGCTACATCTTGCTGACTTAATTCGCATGGCTTTTATGGCTGCAACAGATCACAGTGACCAGCTCCGACTTTCTGGCCTTGAAACATTGTTAGTTGTTATTCGGCGATTTGCAACTATTCCAGAACCAGAGTTTCCAGGTCATGTGATTCTGGAACAGTATCAAGCCAATGTAAGCACTTTCTGTTGCAGAATTCTATTATTAAACACCTTGATAAAGCAATATGAAACAAATGGCATTTCACTTCTTAAATCATAACTGAATATGTATGTATTTCTGCTAACATGTAATTGCTATAGTCAATATATACAGAATACATATGTTTAAAGATGAAATAATCAGAGCTAATATTTTATAAAACTTTAAAAACAAAGTGACACATAAAATAGGTCTTTTATAACTTTAAAGGTTAACTTTCATCATTAAAATCTTCTTGGTAATTAAAGGGAATAAACCTTAGTAATGAAATCTTTTATAAGTCTGAATGAGCAACATCACACTTAACCATTACTAAATATCCAATTTAGACTTCATACTTCTTTATCTTCAAATAACTACTAGAATATAAGATTGTATGTAACTTCCTTAATTTTTCCCCCAGACTTAGAAGAGAATTCAGTTTTTATTACTGATTCTATCATATGTTTAGCTGGTTATATTTTGACTGGTACATTGACTAATGTAGGAAAAAAAAAAAAGGAAAATGACAAAATCATCACATGTTTCATACTCCTGTAGCAGCATCCATCCAAAGTGCCATCCCTTTTTGATGACTAGCAGTTAGGGAGACCTAAGCAGTGCATTAGTTGGTTAGCCATCTCTTTTACTTCTTCCCAGAAGGTGGGATGCCACTGAGGTAATGCTTTCTGTTAGGGAGAAAGCCAAAAGAAGAGATTAAAGATACGTAGAATTATCATGTAAGAATAAATATGTTATAATTAAACTTAATTTAGAGATGTCCTCATGTTTTCTAGATCGCTTATAATGTAATTGATAGGAACACAATTCCAGATCACTTAAACAGAAAAGCAAAATTCTTATCAGAAATCTCTCAAGTTGGCTTCATTGTCAGGCTTGCAATCTCCAAATAGTATCAAGATGGTTCTCTTATCACCATCTTCTCTTTCAAAGTATTCCCAGCAGAAGTCCTGAGGAGAATTTCCCTTATCCCAGCATGGGTTCCTGGATTCAACATCAGTGACTAAAAATAGGGGAGAGAGAATTCCCCAAAGGAAACTTGGGATGCTATTACCTAAAGAATAGGGTGATCGTTGGCAGACAAAAACAACAGATGTCCTATTAAAAACAATAATTTTAAAATAACATAAACAAAGGAGAGAACTTGTGCTATTTTACTTCCTAATACTTGATGTCCTATGATTTCTTGCCAGGTAGGAGCAGCACTTAGACCTGCCTTCACTTCAGAGACACCACCTGATGTCATTGCCAAAGCATGTCAAGTAAGTGGTTAAAAAAATGAAGTGTAAAACATAAACCCTTCGTATTTTAGGAAGCAATTCTTCAGTTACTGTTTGTTGTTGTTAAGTGCTGTCAGCCAACTCCAACTCATAGCAACTCTTTGTTGTTGTTGTTGTAGTTAAGTGCCGGCATGTCCATTCTGACTCATAGCATCCCTGTAGGGCTACTGAGCAGAAAGCCTCATTTTTCTCCTGTGGAGCAGCTGGTGGATTTGAACTGTGACCTTGCCATTATATGTGTCATCAAGTCTGTTCTGACTTACAGCAACTCAGCAGTATTTAACAACAACAATTGAGTTTCCAAGGAGTAGCTTGGAGGTTTGAACCACTAGCTTTACGGTTAGCAGTTCAGTGCTTATCCTGTATTGCCAGATCAGGACTCCCAGCAACCCTATGTTGTTAAATGCTATCGAGTTCTGAGTCATAGCAACGCTGTATAGGGTTTTCTAAGAGTGATTGGTGGGTTTGGACCACCAACCTTAGGGTTAGCAGTCTAGTACTGATCCTACAGCGCCACACCACAACAGCCTTGGAAATTTGATGGGACAGTTTTACTCTGTCTTACAGGGTTGCTATGAGTTGGAATCGACTTGACAGCAAATGGTTTGGTTTTTGTTTTGTTTTCTGTAATCTTTCTGGGAACAAATCACTAGGTCTTTCCTCCTGTGGAGCTTCTGGTAAATTACAACCACCTACCTTGTACCTTAGGAGCTCTGGTAGCGTAGTGGTTACGAATCGGGCTGCGACCCGCAAGGTCAGCAGTTCAAAACTACCAGCTGCTATGCGGGAGAAAGATGAGGCGATCTTATCCCATAAAGATTTACAGCCTTCCCCTAAGAACTTGATTGAACCTCAGCATAGTGATCCTGCTTGGTCACCTTAGAGCAGGTGGTGGGCTGGCAACGTCTTGCGTATGGGGTCCCCAGCCAATCTCCTCCCTCCCTGCCTTCCTCGGATGGCGGCTGTTTATGCTGGACTTGTGGCCAGAGACGGTAAGGATCACGTGGAACCTCGGCAACTTAAGACAGAGCCATTGCCATGCTGCAGTGAGTTTCAATGACTGGTAAGACTGAGGAATTCGCACTGACCGCCTAAGAAAGGCAGCTTACCTTAAACAAACAATAAATAAGGAGGATTCGCATGCAGACCGTGCAGACCCGGTCAGGAGGCCAAGCCCCTGTGGGCCCAAGCGTTGTTGACCATCCAAATCATAGACTCTGAGGATCAGACTTTAGCTACCTAGTAGACATAGCAAACTGTCCCTCATCTGATTATTCAGTAATGCTTGTTAGTAATCTCATACATGAGCCCTGGATATCCACAGACAAATGTAAAAACCTTCCCTAAAAGCCAAGACTGTAAATTCCAAAAAGGCAAGTCGCCTCCCCATCCAAAAAAAAAAAAGCTAAAGAGGATAGAGAGAAACACTGTTAACTGATGATATATGGAGGGGATAATAATCAATGTAATGAAACAAGCTATATGAATGGTTGAATGTGAAGCTGATGATGTGCCCTGTAAACTTTCACTCAATCCAAAATAAAAACATTTAATTTAAAAAAAAAAAAAGATTTACAGCCTTGGAAACCCTGTTCAGGGTCACTATTGGTCGAAACCGACTTGACAGCACTTAACAACAACAACAACAACCTTGTACCCTGCAGGCCATTGTGCCATGAGGGCTGCTTTAATATTTGGTACTTAGGTTCTTTTTTATTACAATTATTAACCATCAGTCCTGGTGTGGTAATGTAGGATCAGCACTGGACTATTAACTGCAAGGTTGGTGGTTCAAAGACACCCACCGCCACTCCTTGTTAACCCTATACAGGATCACTATGAACAACAACAACAAACCATGAATCTCAACTTCACCTTTTCCTTTTCCTTTTAAACTTAACGAACTTCATCTTTCTTCCTTAGAAATATGTGGCAATACAGTATGTGGATTTAAGCAGTTTCCTATTAATGGCTTATGTGTAATTTTGTCTTTTACTATTACAAACAGTGCTTCAGTGGAAGACCTTGTGCATAGGTTATTGCGAACTCGTCTATGAACATGAATTCCCCAAAATTGAATTGCTATGTTAAAGAATATATTAAAGGAATTGTACAAGTTTAGACTCTCACCAGTAATGTTTGCAAATATCTTCTTCTCCATTGCCTCAGCATCATTTGTGAGTCAGAAAACTTTTGTTTTTGCCTTCGTGATAGAGTCAAAAATGTATCTCAGGATCATTTTGATTTCCATTTCATGTGAAATTGAGCATTTTTTCACATACCTCATATATCTCTGTGGGAGAAAGATGAGGCTTTTTGCTCCCATAAAGATTTACAGCCTTGGAACCCTATTCAGGGTTGCTATGAGTTGGAACCAACTCTACGCATACCACCACCTCCACCAAGAGTTTTGCATGATTTTTAAGACTAACCTTTCTCAGATTGGTTCTCACTTAATTTAGTTCCCTGGATAGTGTGAAATAATTAAAAACTGAACTGACATAAATAAATATGAATGCTAAATAAAACAGAAAATTAATTTAGTCATTTCTTTTTATTTTTTTTTTTTAATGTTTTATTGTGAATTATATGATAGTTTACATGGGAGAACAAGATGCTCTTTCAGCTTCTT